TTGTTTGTGATATTAATGAATTGGTTTATAGGTATTTTTGTTGATTGGTTCATGTTAAATTACATTATCTAGATTTATTTTCATATTTTGGAATAAATTAAAGGCCCCTTGGTTTAACTTTTACCCGACCCGTTAGCCAGATGGTTCATTTTATTATTAGTATTAAATGATCGATGCTTTTAAACAATTTAGAATCGTCGTAGTAGTTTGTACATGATTTGAAAGTTGTTCTGTATTATTTGTTGTTTGTGTCATTAACGGTACTTAATTCATAGTTATTTTTATTGGTCAGTACCCTAAATATGATATTTAAAAAGGTAATAGGTCATTCATCTAAATGAATCTTGCCTTGCTTAACTAGTTTCGCTTGTATGATGGAAGTGAAGTTCTTGCGTAGCAGCATATTAGTAATTTATAAATTGTCAGCGGTGACACTACTTGCGATGAGAGTTTGTTGCCAAAACACTTTTATGAGAGTATTTCATATGTTGTATATGTTATTCATATTTTTGAAAGAAAAAATGGAATTTTTATTGTCAGCATATATTACTAAAAATATTTCATCATAAGATTCAGAATTATTAACTTGTATTTATATTATTTTCTAACAAAGGTAAAATAATTATTCGTTGAAGTAACAATTAGGAATCAAAAGGATGGCCTACTGGTAATCTAGAAGGATAAAATAATCACATGCTGAGTTTGAACTTTGTAGTCAATATTATAATTAAGAAAGTATAAATTATCAGATGACAATTGATTGGTAACTCATTTCTTTGTACAAAAATAACTGCACTCCTAAAAGTTGACATTAACTTATGAGTATAGTAGAAGACTACTATAATGTAAAAAATGTAAGATCTTCTAAACATTTATTTATATTTTTATTAGATAAATCACGACGTGTCTCAAACATACGAATACTTATTGCGAAACATTAAGAATAGCACATGCACAACCTCGACAGTGATTGAACATCATATGGATATGAGATACAAAATCATCATATATTTCAAGGATGAAACTCAAAATAAAGTTTGCAAACACATGATAGTTCATTCAACTTCTCGAACCAAGATATAAACAACTACATCACAGAAATAATTTGAGCATCACAATCCCAAATACAATCAAAGGAATATATTGACCCAAATGAACTACCAAAGACACCAGAGAACACTACATTTAAACAAACACCAATTAGGGTTGTAAAAATAATTCCCAATCTACTGTCGTTAAAACCGAATTGGGACGCGCATGCCCCAATTAGGGTTGTAAAAATAATTCCCAGTATAGTGTCGTTAAAACCAAATTGGGGCGCGCATGCCCCAATTAGGCTTTATAGTACGCGGAAAACAAAATTAGAGCACGAAAGCCGGAATAATGTATAATACGTTAATTGGGGAGGGAATAAGCCCGATTGGGCCGTGCGCGCCTCAATTGGGCTTATTCCCGCCCCAATTTGCGTTTTAACGTATAGTTTTTCCCCAACATCTCTGAACAGCCCAACGGGTAATTCCCAACGGGCAAACAAACGGAAACAAGCCTCTAACGAGAAAATTTGGGGAAAACGACTATTTTCTAGGCCTATATAAAGGATGTCATTTTTTTTTTGATGAATCATTGGGTTTCATTCATCAAAAGGAGGCGCTAGCTACACACCCCCGCTATAGACTATGAATCCCATAACATACTAACTCGATGAGACCCTAACAGGCACTCGATTTTCGATTTGATCACTTTCACCAAAGCATCGCAGTTCTTCTCCTCAGCCGAGTATAAACGTCGGCAGCGTTCTCGCCAAATATAACTCACCCAGGCCTGCCATATCAATTTTCCCATTTCAGTTGCCTCTATTATTCCACCTAGCTTGGACATCATCAGAGCCACTACCTCGTCCCAGCTCTGCATAACTGGAATCTGCATAAACTTAGCAAAAACCGACTCCAGCACAAGATGGGAGAAAGGACAGCAAACATATAAATGATCCCTATCCTCCACTCCTGTTCCACAAAGACAACATTCCATACCCCCACTATATCCCCATCTCTTCATCCTCTCTTCAGTATTGATATTCCCTCTGATTACAAGCCAAGTAATCACCCTATTTCGAGGAACAGCTTTTCCCTTCCAAACTAGCTTCCACCAGTTGACAGTCTGCTGAACAGGGTTCAAAGTCTGCCAAACCCTTTTTATAGAGTAAGTAGGCATAGGAGCATCATTGAATCGAAGCTCCCCCCCTCCTGCCGAAATAAAGGAGGCAATCTTACCTCTTAACTTTAATATCTTGTGCCAGTTACAGGATCCTGAAGCACATGAATAACTCCATAGGTCCCTCCCCTTCAGTTTATAAATATGGATCCAAGCAACCCACAATGAACCTTCTTGCAGCAGGATCAGCCATAAATGCCTCACCATACATGCCTGATTCCAGCTCCACATATCTCGAAATCCCAGTCCTCCTTCTTTTTTTTTTGGAAAAGTGACTTTCTGCCAGACAACATTTGCTCTCAGTTTAGTCCCAACTCCAACTCCCCAGATATAGTTGCTACAAATTCTCTCCACCTCTTTAATGACTGACTTAGGCAAAAGAAACAGTGACATCCAGAATTGTGTAAGACTATATAACACTGTGCCAACAAGTTCAATTCTTCCAGCATAAGATAATGACTTAGCTCGCCAACTCTTAACTTTTGCAACAATTTTATCTATTAGTGGTTGGCATGAAGATAAACTAAGCTTCCCAGATAGCGCACTGGAAATTCACCTAACTTATAACCATATCGTGCTGCTCTGATTTTCCTTTCCTCCTTGGAAAGTCCCCCAATGAAAACCTCACATTTGCTAGGGTTGGATTTAAGTCCAGAAACTTTCTTGAATTGCTCCAATACTCGTTAGAGCTCCTGTATCCCATAGTTGGATCCATCCGAGAAGACCAAAAGGTCGTCCGCAAAGCAGAGGTGGGTGAGCTTAATGCCCTTGCACATGGGATGGTAGGGAAACAATCCCTTTGCAGCAGAATTATCAAGCAAACACGTGAATACTTCCATTGCTATAGAGAACAAATAAGGAGACAAGGGGTCACCCTGTCTGACCCCTTTCCTAGCTGGAAAGTAACCAACTAGACCCCCATTGAAGCAAAAACTGAGCATGGGAGTGCACACACACATACAGATCCATTTAATAAACCTTTCAGGGAACTGCATGCACTTTAACACTTGAAGAATGAACTCCCAGTTAGCTGAATCGAAGGCCTTCATAAAGTCAATATTAAGAGCACACCTCGAAGAAATGTTCTGTCTAGAATACTTGTGAACCAGTTCATGTGCCAATAGAATATTTTCCCCTATAAGCCTACCTTTGACAAAAGCAGTCTGATTTTTGCTAATGAGAGAAGGTAAAAGAGGACTAAGTCTATTAGCAATAAGCTTGGAGATACACTTGTATAATATGTTGCAGCAGGAGATGGGACGAAAATTTTTCATTTCATCTGGATTTGGGACTTTAGGAATGAGAGAAAGAATGGTAGCATTAACTGGCTTAGGGATTCTATCTTGATCAAAGCAGAATTTAATTGTAGAACTTACCTCAGCTCCAATGAGTGGCCAGGCATACTGAAAGAAGGCTGCAGAAAAACCATCAGGACCAGGGCTTTTGTCCCCATCCATAGCAAACAGAACAGCTTTGATCTGTTCATCTGTAAAAGGTTCACATAGGTCACCAGTCTGCTCCTCATTGAGTTTATGCTTCAGCAGATAAGAAATATAGCTATCTGGCATCTTCATTACTTCAGGATCCACCACCCCCAACAGAGCTTCATAAAATAAGACTGCAATCTTAGCCATCTCATCCACTTCATGAATTTGCTCTCCTGACTCATTTCTTAGCATTCTTATAGTGCATTTCTTTTGCCTTGATCTGACTGACCGATGGAAATAGGCAGAATTCATATCACCAGGTTTGAGCCAGCACTCTCTTGATTTCTGTCCAAAGAAACACTCCTCAGCATCCATCAGTACTTTCAGTTCCTGTCCATGTTTCCTTTCAACCTCAAAATTTAAAGTGGAAGGAGCACTAAGAGCCAACTGTCTGTACCTCTTTTTCCTTCTCCTTAACCTTCTCCTTGATGTCAGAGAACTCTTCCCTATTTAACTGTCTTAGTAAATTCTTTAGATTCTTCAACTTCTGGGAGACCCTAATCAGAGGGTGATTACTTGTGACTTTACTCCTCCAAGCCACTTCAAGCAACTCATCAAATCGGGGGTGGTGCATCCAAAACTTGAAGAATTTGAACGGTTTAGGGAGTGACTTCTGAGAAGCTAAAGTGTCAACAAAAATAGGGCAGTGATCTGAGACACCTGGAGCTTGAAAATGTACTTTACTGTCCTTGACTCTATCCATCCAAAGAAAATTAATAAGAACTCTGTCCAGTCTCTTGGCAATAGGGTTGGCTGTCTGTTTGTTAAGCCATGTGAACTAGGGACCTGTATCTTGATGCTCTTCTAACTCATTATTCACAATCCACTCATTAAACAGGGTCATTGAAGCATCAACTCTGGGGGAGTTTGAAGCTTCATCAGGGTGTCTTATATCGTTAAAATAACCTAACACAATCCAAGGGGCATTAGAGACCTTAATTCTGCTAAGTTCATTATAGAGAGCTTGCCTACTGCCTTCATCATTTTATGCATAAACAACAGTGCCAAAGAACGGCTGAGTACCCCCCACCGTAAATTGAATAAACTGATATGAGGAGTGAAGAACTGTTAAGCTCACATCTTTCTTCCACATCAACCAAATCTTACCCAACCCAGCCTGATTGTGCTTCACCTTACTCATCCAATCTGGGAATCTCTTATCTACCAGCTTATTTTTCTTAGTAATCCCTATTCGATGTTCTAGTATAGCTACTATATCAATACTGTATTTATTTACCTTCTTTAAAACTGCTGTATACTTACTATCTGCCTTGAAGCCCCTAGTATTCCAGGTAAGGATCCTCATTTCTTCCCTCTGCCTTTGCCTCCCTTCCCTTTTTTTGGTTGAAGAGGAATCAATGGCGAGTTCACCCAAACCTTTTTTCCCTTATCAGGAGGTTTCCTATTTTCTTTCCCCACCCCAGAAGCCAAATTATCTCCTTGAGGTTGCGATAGCGTCAAACTCCCAGAGACTGGTAATTTGCCACTATCCATAGGTTGCTCAGTAGTGCTTGAACTCCCACTCCCTGGTGGTGATCCACGCACAATCTGAGCAAAGCTCAATGGAGGACTCCCAATAGAGTTAGGAGCCAAAACTTGGGTGTTTTCCTGAGTTACAACATCAGCAGAGTTCACCGCCCCAGTAACCACATCCAACACAGGAACCACAATGGTTATCTCCTCATCCCTGTTAGTCTCATCCTTATCAGTCACACTTACCTTTTCTGAACCTCTCTGATCCAGAGAAACATCCTCAACCGAGCTAATCACATGCCCCATAACAGGCCCATCCCCACTCTTACCTGTAACGAGCTCCTCTAGCCACAACAATAGAAGCATCCTGTGCATTTGGAACCACCTCCTTGACCTTCCATTGCATCTGAACTTCCTGCTAACAAAAGTGACCAAACACACAACACTTTGGACAGACTTTGGGGAGCTGCAGATATTCCACACCAATCTCAAACAAAGGATGTCATTTTGCTAATGAATTGCCACATATTCTTTCACCATTCTTGACTATCATCCCCTACTAAAACTATTCACCACCGTGAACAAAGTCATTGTCATAGCTCAACCATTTGAGAGATTACGGCTAATCACTACAAGAATTTTTGTTTCTTTTGACACCCATGTTTGTCAAAATAGATCTCAACTTCGTCATAATAGGTTTATTGTGACAAAATATTTTGTCACACTTTTAGTCAAAACTACCTCGTCAAAATAAGTTTGTAATGACAAAATTATTTTTTTGTCACAATAAGTTTTTCCTACTTTGACAAAATGGTTGTCGTTATAATATCCACCTATTATGACAGAATGGGTGTGTTAAAATAAGGGTCTATTTTGTCAGAACAGGGGGTATTTTGTGACAATATTCAACACTTTTTCCCCAGCTATTTTGACAAAATATGTAGTTCTGACGAATAGTTTGTCATCAGATTTTGTCATAATACACGTAGTGTCCGATCTTCGTAATTATTTTGACAAACGAATTTGGTCAAACAGAAAGCAACATTTCCCAATTTTGGTCATTTAGACATGTTATTTTGACGACCTGTTTGTCAACTTAGAGCCTTATTGTGATAACCGTATGTTAGTCAAGTTAGATGGTTATTACGACAACATTGATAATAACAAAAACATACTTCATTTTCATAACTAACTTCATGTCCAAAAGATGGATATCATTATTGTGCCACCAACCGTTCATGTCTTGACACTCATAACTTATCTAGAAGCACAGTACTTAAAAACAAAAAAAGCAAACCGAAAGTCTATATCAGCCCTGCCCAACAAAAGTTAATCTAAGCATCCATAAGCTGCCGGTGGAGACTCGAAGTGCATCACCACAGCTGACGTGTTTCCTGCACAGTTGCAGAAGCGAAGGCAAAACGATTAGACTCTGTTATAGGCGCAAAATTCCTAAATGCAAAAACATATTTCTTATTACCTGAAACTAAGTGCTGCCTCCATTGATTTTCGCAGCAAGTGACTCCACATACTCCTTTAGACTATCCTGTGATGCTTGCAAGGCATCGATAGTCACCTTATGACCCCAGATCTCTTCTTCCTGTTTTTCGATCTAGTCTTGCTGAGATTTGATTTTATCTTCGAATTCCTGCCTCTATTTATTTGCATGAGCAAGAGAGGTCTCCAAACGAGCTTCCAGTTCCTTCTCTCTTTCGGAAATGAGGTCTGCCTTTCTAACATAACTCGGTGCTTTCTGCAGCACCCTGCGAACAATTTCAGCTCCTGACAATGGATTTCCTTGTTCAACTACCTCTAGATGAATCCTCCTCATTTCCTCTTGCAAGCAACTGTATACATAATAAATACACACCACGCAAGGGTATGTTCCTTGGCCTCATTTGAGGAACCAATCAAGATCATTCCTTCACCCAACAAACCCCTAATCATTAATGTATTCAATATACCAACTATCCTCTAATTCACTAGACTCCCTATAATCCTCCTGCTACTCATCCACAACGAAAAGAGTGCTTACATAGTTCTGCTCGGGTTGCACATTCACCCAACTGCCATCAAGTTTCTTGTGGGTGACTACATAGACCCTTAGTTCTTTGGGCTCTTCCTCCACTGCATCAGATGGTTGACTGCTATTCTCCACCTCCCTAGAATCATCATTGTTTTCAGTAGTGGCATCGACAGCTGCATGTTTTGCTTTTTCCTAGTTCAAACCATGAAAAAGTAATTAAATCATTCACAAAGCCCGAAAATAATCATTTTTGTGCAATGGATCAGCCACTGAAAATGACTTCTTACAATTTCAAACATCCGCTGGCTGCACGACTTTCCACCAGTAGTATGAGCATATGTCTGCTTACCCTTGTTTTGTTTGTTGGCTACACTCTGCCGCTGCACATCATATCATTTTGAAATGAGTCATGACACAAACATGGTGACAATCTAAGAATTGAGTTATTACCTTGAATTCAGCACTTTCAAAATGATCACACAAACGAGTCCAATCATCAATGTTGATGTTTTCGGTTGGAGTCAGGAGAGCTCTGGCAGAACCTAATTCTTGGTAGTGCATATGACATAGGTGCTTCCAAGACGTGAACCTCCTTGATAAGGTAAAGTCAATGGCCTTCCTTGTTGCTTCACTAGCGATGGAGATATCAAACTCGTTCTGGAACATAAAGACAAACATGTACTGATTATGGTAAGGCTGCAAAAATCATAAACAGAGATTGATAAGGCTAACTTCTCGACATTTACCTGTAGCTTCTGGAAAATGGGTTGCTTATCCTCTTAAGTGACATGTTTCTAGTAGAACTTCCCAATGGGAGCCATCATTTTATAGATAACTCCCACCTCCATCTTAAACAACTTCTCATTCGCCCCAACAATCTTCTTAGATCCTTCTACAACTTCAATTCCACCAATCTTATTCCCAGCCATTGTTTGTTTCATCACAACAATCCATTTTGCTTTGACACGCCCTTTTCGCTCTGGCGCATCTGTATAAATAATCATTATTAGAAACACATACTAAACCGATATGCAAACACTGTATAATGCGGGTTCTATTCCTCTCTGCCCCACCTCCATCTTAAACAAATACTTACCTGATGTATTATGCTCAGTGGTTGCAGTTTCCTCCAAGTTTTCATTCTCTGCAATCACCTCCTGTGTTACTTCCTGATCACGCATGTCATTACGGGTTCTATTCCTCGACTTCCGAAGCTGTTCCCGAACGGGCTCAGGTCCTGCAGCAGACGCTGTCGATCTTGTCACTCTTGCAGGGATTGATTGGTTGGCTGCATTCCGTTGTCGTTTGTTACCACGAGGCATACCAGGAGCCATAGCTGCAAAAACAAATACAAGACTATTATCAAACAACAATGAGGCTTCCACTCCTCAAACTATAAATGTCTGGCTCGGTTTGAATCGTCAGCAAAGGTTTCAATGTCACAAACCAGAATCCATAACATATAAATGACAAACTGTCAGCAAACCGTCACACAAATTTCATTGGAAGCATAGAATTCAAAATTATAGTCTAGTATAAGGACAGAAAAATTCAAAAAACTCGATTCAAGTCATCATTCTCCATATCATCTTCATTGTCATTCTCCTGAGAACATTCACTTAGGTACTCTAGCTCCTCATCATCTGCATCCTCTGATTCTGCATCTTCAGGAACCACCTCCTTCCTAGCTAGCACTTGTTCCATGATTGCGATTTCAGCAGCAGTTAGGGTCACTAGATCGCCAATAGCACTGCTGAGCTGCTGGTCATCGATGTTGTATGATGGAATTTCGACTGCCTCCGTGTTTGAATTGTCGTGGTAAGGGTCATGACTGTAAACTGGATCAACCTCTTCCCCATCCCCCTTTTCTGGAACGTCATATATATGCCTAGGACAGACATTATTGACTGTAGGCCATGTACCTCCGTTTTTTGTATCCCCTATATAAAAAATTGGCTTAGTTCAGCCAAGACGACATATACTTCTTTCTTCAAGAAACCTTGTGCCACTGCCGGTAATAAACGCTGTATGAAAACATGGTAGTCGTGACTTTTCATGCCAGTCACAGACCGCCCACCACTAGTGATACAGCGTGATATGTTGGATGCATATGCATCAGGAAACCTTATGGTTTTCAACCACTCACACACTTCTCGTTGTTTCGAGACTGGTAATGAATAACAGGCCTGAGGTAAACAAGGCTTAGCCCCAGTTCTGTCAATGTGTAACTCTTTCCGTATTACCATGTTCTCCAAATCTAGCCTAGCAGTCATGCCATCTTTTGTTTTCCCTTCAATGTTCATCAGGGTTCCTAGCAGATTCTCACTGATATTCTTCTCCACGTGCATAACATCTAAGTTATGCCGCAATGCAATACTAGTCCAATAAGGCAAACCCCAGAAAGCAGCTTTGGTTTTCGAGTTTAAACTAGGATTTAAGGCACCCCTTTTTCTTTTGCGACTACTACTGGCCTGCTCACTGCGTAAGGCGAAAGTATCTTGGTCAAACAGTTGTTGTCCAGTTAACAATTTAGGCCTATCTCTAAAATCCGACTTCCCATCAAATTTCCTACTTCTCCTCCATGGGTGATCTTTGTCTAACCATCTACGGTGACCCAAATAGCACTCTTTTCTGCCAAAGTGTAACCGTAGGTAGTCTGTCTCCCTATTGCAGACAGGACAAGCTAACCTACCTTTAGTACTCCACCTGGACAACATACCATAAGCTCGAAAATCATTTATGGTCCATAACAGCGCAGCATGCAACTGAAAAGTTTCATTAGAGTACGCATCATAAGCTTTGACCCCAGGATTCCATAACTCGTTCAGACTCTCAATCACTGGCTCCAAATACACATGTATATTGTTACCCGGGGATTTCTTCCCTGGTATCAAGACAGTAAGAAAAAGAAAAGACTATTTCATGCAGTACCATGGTGGCAAATTGTAAGCAGTAAGAACAACAGGCCACATGCTGTAGCTCGTACTCATGTTGCCAAATGGATTAAACCCATCACTCAACAATGCCAGCCGGACGTTCCTAGGATCAGAAGCAAACCAAGTATAGGCTACATCAAAATCTTTCCAAATCTGTGCATCTGCTGGATGCCTAAGGATATCTTCGCCAACACGATTATCCTTGTGCCACCTCATAGCTTTCGCAATATGCTTAGTCATAAACAACCGCAGAAGCCTATCCCTTATAGGGAAATACCTAGCCCTTTTAATGGCAACATCAGACCCTTTACCAGCAAAATATCTATCTTATTGACACTTGGGGCATTTCCTCTCATGTAGAAGATCCCCCCTAAAAAAAACACAATCATTCGGGCAAGCATCTATTGTAGTGTAACCAAAACCCAGGTCTTTAATATATTTCTTCACATCATAGTAAGAACTTGGCAAAGACTCACCTTTAGGTAAAGCCTTTTTAATCGTTTCCAAATTCAAGTTGAATGACTTGTCTGAACTATTTGTAATTATTTTGTTGTTCATCAACTTCATAACGAATGGCAATCTGGAGAAGGTTTCACAACCACGAAAAAGTGGAGCTTTAGCATCCTTAATCAATCTTGCTAATGTGGGATCAATATCCCCAACATCCTTAATGGAGCTTCCAGAATCAGGTCTTTGTACGACGTTACCTCTACCTAAAAACATGGTAGGAATGTCTGTATCAACAAAAAAATTATCCTCCTCCTCAACATGAGGAGGAGAGCTCGCTGGACCATTACTACCAATCTGAAAAGCAGGTTCCCCATGATGAACCCACCGTACGTAATCCGGAACCATTCCATGATTGTAGATATCAGCTTTCACTAACTCAATGGTTTTGAAGGAGCAATTGTTGCACCCTCGGCATAGGCACCTAACTCTACCTTGACCATCAAGACATTGCATGGCACATTGTATAAAGGCATCAACACCACGTACATACTGAGGACAAAATCTGTCCTTCAGTTTCAACCACGACCTATCCATTCTCCTAGTGCACTTAAAGTGAACTAACCTGAACAAATGAATGTGCCTTTGCTGCAAATTCCCACTTTCAATGGAACTCCAACAGTTCACAACTCCAACAGAAATGCCAAGCTGATGCAGGAGAAGGAGGATTAAAATTAGTAGAACCTGGGGGGAAAATAAATGCAAACATGGTTAGTTAGGGTTCCTAGCAAGCTGCTGGACACTCCCCTCATCAGAAACAAAACCCAGATTAGCACAGTAATGATGTCCAACTAATATTTTCAAACATGGTGATGTTAACAAACAACTAAAGAAGGTTCCAACATCACAAGACCTAATTACTAACTCACACATCGACAATCAAACAAAAGAGAACTCGCAGAATTTGAATGTCAATTTAGAACGAGTAAGCACCCATAATTTCACAGATTCATGCATTCAGGGGAAGAGAATGAGAGGGGTGCTAACCTTGGGTTCGAATGTCCTCTTTCGTTTATCTAAGGACCTGCTCCAAATATATGAATTTGGACGATTGGGGATCTCAAAAATTGTTGGCGATGCTTCCGCTGGGCATGCAATTAGACAAGGGTCAGGGAATGGAAGTCAATCGCACAATCTGTTTCCTTCCCTCTAGGGACAGAATAGAACATGCAACCCAAGAAAGAAAACCTAGCAACTTA